ACCCGGGAGGACTGGAGCCAGAGGACCGGGGAGGACCGGGACCAGAGGACCCGGGAGACGGGACCAGAGCACTGGGACCAGAGGACCGGGACCAGAGGACCCGGGAGACGGGACCAGAGCACCCGGGAGGACCGGGACCAGAGCACCGGGACCAGAGGGGAGCAGCGCGGGATGAGGGCGGAGGAGAGAGACGGGGGGGGCGGAAAGGCCCGGAATCCGCAGGGCAAAGATCAGGTGTGTGTTTTGCTGTGGCTGACGTTTATTTTCGTGTAAAGTGTAAAGTGCTTTTCAAAGAGCTTAGGAGCATAAAGTTGATGAAAAGAAGTTCAACGAAATAAAACAAGCATTGATTAAATAGATTAAAAGTGAAGAGTGCATGTAAAATACATTCAGTTGTCAAATACACAGTTAACATTTACATTTCTGCATCCAGCAGACGCTTTTATCCTAAGTGACTTCCAAAAAGAGGCTTTACCATTCATTTACAACACCAGTTCCACTTTTACCTTGAGAGCAACATGCCAGAAGATGATTTAACATTAAGGATTTAACATTCAACTATGCCATAGATTATAAAAGTAACCATACATAGAGTGCTATATGCTATCGGGAGATAAGAGCATTTAGGGCTTTAGGACCAGAGATACTCTGGAAGAGCTGGGTCTTCAAGGCTTTCTGAAGGAGGAAAGAGAATCGTATGCTCTGATAGTCTTGTGAGGTCGTTCCACCAGCGTGGAACCAAAAATGACATGAATCCAGATTGACCTGTTAGCTGGCACTCCCTGGAGGACCGGAGTGGGCGAGTAGTGACATGAGGCTTTAAGAGGCTGTTGGGGTAGAGGGGTGTCCAAAGTCGGTCCTCGACGGCCGCTGTCCTGCAGGTTTTAGAAGTCTCCCAGCTTCAACGCACCTGATTCTCATGTGTGTGCGATTATCAGGCTTGTGCAGAGCCTTTGAACTTTGATCCACTTCTGCAGAATCAGGTGTGCTGAAGCAGGGAAACCTCTAAAACCTGCAGGACAGTGGCCCTCCAGGACCGGAGTTGGATAAGATGGTAGATCCATCAGACACTCTGTAGACCAGCATCAGGGATCTGGATCCGATGGAGCAGCTGAGGGAAGCCAGAGGAGTTCAGAGAACAGGGGGTTAATACCAGCTCTGATTGGCTGGTTGGAAACCAAACCCCGCTGCAGCATCTGGATCATCTGGATCATCTCACAGCACAGGCTGGAGGCCTGTTAGGAGGGACGACTGAGGCCTGGACTAGGAGCTGTGGGGCATGTTGGGTTAGATGTTCCTGATGTTCCTGATGTTGAGTTTAGGTTTGTCCCACTTTAAGTAGACTGATCCAGATTTTAGGAGCACTACAACTGAAATGAAGCCTCTTCTTGTTTGGTCCTGACTCTGGACAACAGCAGGAGACCAGAATCTGAGGTTCTCACAGTCCCGCTGGTTTATGTAGCTCTAACAAGTCAGAACTGGACTTTAGATCATGAAGAGGCTGGAAAACAAGCAGAGCTGTTGTTGTCTGTTTTCTGAGTGACAGGAAGCCAGAGCAGGATGCTAAGTTTACTTCCACTGGCTACAGTGTGGAGAAAGTGGAACTTGTAGCCTGAAAAGGTCTCAGAAAATTGTGAAATTGTATGTTCCTGAGCTGAAATGTTGTCATACGTGCACACATTGGCTTTAATGATTTTGGTTTCAGAGTTAGTGAGCACAAGATGTTGTGCTCCATTTTAAAAAATAATTTTACTGCTGTGTGTAAAACCACATTTGAGATTATATCTCAAACTGAAAACAGTTTTTTTCCCCTGGGAGGAGCTTTGACTTACTCCATATGTCTTATCTAGAATTTTTTCTCTAATTCTTTGAACTTTGTTTGCCAGACAGCAGCTTAATATTCAGAGTTTTATAAATTGGTGGTACTAAATGTGGGTCAGGAAACACTTTAACAGTTTTAAATGGGAACTCCCAGACTTTTCTCATTGAAGACATTTTACCTTTACTGGAAACGCAGATGTACTCGATAAAGTTTAACACTTATGAGTTGGCAAACCTATTTCACTTCCCTGGTTTTGCGCTTCGTCATATATATTTCTTTCGTACTTAAAGATATTTTTAAGGAAGTTCTATTTCTATCAAAAAAAGGCAGTTTGATATACTTCATTATATCCACTGCTTTTCTCCTAAAAAACTGAAGACTACCTATGGGGAATCTTTAGGTTTGGTAACATTACAGTAAATTCATAAAACTTTGAAGACTTTAAGATTGAAAATCCATTTGTGATGGAGTTTTTTCATATTATTTTTACGGTCAGATGAATTAACCTACTGCATAAAATCAACATGATTTAGTAATAAAGTCATTTTAAGATAAAATGGGGTAAATTACATGTATATATTTTTATATTATGTATGATATTGTGATATATTCATAATCACTAAGATACATAACTGTGGGTTGTTGTTTTTTCAAATCGATGGGTTCTGAGTTTCCGTACATGGACTTGATGTGGGCCAGGTTTAGCCAAAGTCCAGGTCTAACGCCTGAGGGGTTTTTGCTTGTCTTTTATATCTTCGTCGTGCCATTTCCTGTTTAATTTTGAACTATTAATTCCCCTCTTTTTTCTGGTCACTTGCCTTTCCTTTTTGGCCAATAAGGCTTGTCTTCCCAGATCCCACATTTAGTCCTCCCGTTCCTCATTTTCCCTCGTGTGTACTTATAGTCCACGTCAGCCATTGTCTTCTGCCAGATCCCCTTCAATAGTCATCGTCATTGTCGGTGTCACCTCTTCCGGATTTTCTGCCTCAGGTCTTGTCCCTTTGTCTGTTTTTTGTTTTGTTTTTTTGGTTATGTAATTTCCCGGTTTGAGTTGGGTTTTTTTTCCCCTTTGTATGGTTCCTCAGAAAAACCAGCCTTATGAGTGGTCAGATGGCAGCGTCCACCCAGGTGCACACAAACCCAGGACCATTTGAGTTTAGTTTAGTCACAAATCGTTTGGTACAACAGACATACAGTGAACCCTTCCTTATCTAAGAAGAACCCATGATAGATGAAATCCGTGAAGTAGTCAGTTTTAAATTTTACAATTTTTCAAACAATACTGTACATAAGAATGAAACCAAAGATTAAAACCTTTTTTTCAGGCCCAAGTATTTGTTTGAGAAATGAAGATAAAAACATTTTTATTCAAATAATTACGATATATTCCTTCATTCTGGAATGACGCCCTACAGCTGCATGACTTCTATCTTCTGTCCGCATGTCCAGAAGTTGAACTTTTTCTGCGACAGTTAGCATCGTCCACTGCCTTTTGGGTCCATCCACAGGTGCCTTTGTTGGTTCCGAACGTTTTGGTGACATTGTGGGTTTTGTCACAGAGAAAATGTGCAAATGGGAATTTAGTAAGCCAAACAAAATTTCGCTTAAAAGACAAAAAACATTATAGCGAGGGCTGCTGTACTTCTTTTGATACAGCCAAAAAATCAAAAATAAAAAAATAACTCCCCCCAGCATCTCATCTCCTGCATATTTAAAACTCTATGGTCATGCCCGTCCACTTCAAACTATAGGAGCACATCATCACAACCAAGATACAAATATTGAGCAAACACACTCCGCCAGACATTGTGCGCACAGACACACAACATACTAGTACGACTCCTTCACCATTTACTCAAAATTTTAACAAAAAAAAAAAAAAAAAAAAAATATTTAACCAATTACCCAAAAATTAAAAAAAAAAAAAAAAAAAAAAAAACTTATTTAACCAATCCCCCCCCCAAAAGTACAAAATAATAATCACTCCAGAAACAAGGCAGACAAAGCTAAGAACAAAGTATCAAATAATAATCTCTCTTGCGAGGTAGAACAAAAGAACTAATTAATAACGCTCGATAACGAGGATGCAACGGCTACAAAGTACAAAATCAACTCACTCTGAAAAGAGGATTATAATAGTTCCAAAGTATAAAATAAGCTCACTTGGAGGAGGAATAACAATAAAAAGTTCAAAGCAAGGCTTGGGTTAAATTCTCAGTATAGGTCAAAGGACGAAACACACTGGCACAAGACAAGGAGAAACACAGACTATTTAAACACAAAAAGGAAAGGAAACCCCAGGTGAACACAATCGTTGATCAGGGAAGACAATCAGACATGTGACACACAGGGGGATGCAAGAGAACTGAAACAAGAGGAGAGTTACTATCATTTTTCATCTAGTCTACGTGTTGCTGTGTTGGCTGCCTCTCTCTGCTCCCTCTGTCCTTCTCTCGCCCTCTCTCTCTTTCTCTCTCTCTTTCTCTCTCTCTCTTGCCCTCTCTTTCCCCTCTCCCCCAACCGGTCGAGGCAGATGGCCGCCCACCCTGAGCCATGGTTCTGCTCCAGGTTTCTGCCTGTTAAAAGGAAGTTTTTCCTTGCCTGTGTCGCCTAGTGCTTGCTCATGGTGGGAATTGTTGGGTTTCTGTAGTTAACTTCAGAGTAGGGTCTGACCTGCTCTGTTTGGAAAGCGCTGTGAGACAACTGTTGTTGTGATGTGGCGCTATATAAATAAAATTGAATTGAATTGAATTGAATAAAACAGGAAATGACAAGACAACCATAGAAACAGGACAAAACACAAAAAAAAAAAACCCAGGCAAGACACAAGT